TGCTCTGCTCTCTGAGGCCCCGTCTGCAGCACTGCGTCCAGGGCTGGGGGTTCCAAGACAAGACAGGGAGCTGTGGGAGAGGAGCCAGAGGAGCCGCAGGGCTGAGCAGGGGCTGCAGCAGCTCCCTGCAAAGCCAGGCTGAGGGAGCTGGGCTCGTTCAGCATGGAGAAGAGGAGCTGGGGCTGAGCTGAGTGCAGCCTGCAGCGCCTGCAGGGAGCCTGCAGCCAGGAGGGGAGGCAGCGCTTGGGCAGGGGAGATGAGAGCAGGCCAGGGAAGGGCTGGAAGCGGAGGGAGGGCAGCTGGAGGCTAGGGGTCAGGGAAGTTGTGTGCTGGGAGAGCGGTGAGGGGCTGAACAGCTGCCCAGAGAGGCTGCGATGCCCCGTCTGTCCCTAGAGGGGTTGGAGGCCAGGCTGGATGGGGCCCTGGGCAGCCTGGGCTGCTGTGAAACGTGGGCAGGTTGGCATGCAGTGTGGGGTTGGAGCTCCATGATCCTGGAGTCCCTTCCAAGCCTGGCCATTCTGTGATTCTGTGAAAAGGAGGGAAACAACCACAAGAGGGCGGATGGGGCCACCGGGACACGTTGCTACCCCGGCCAATTAACCTTACCTGCAATCCCCCAACCCACCCCCATCCCTCTGACTGCAACACCCAAGCGTGGCTGAACCAGAACAGCTTTTATTAATAGATGCAGCGCCCAATGAACAGACAGCCATGCAGACAGATGGCCGCAGCCCCGCTAGCAGCCCAGCCAGGGGTCTGTGCGGCTCTTGCGGGAGAGGAAGGAGATTTTGCGTGCCATCTCAGTGTTGTAGACACGCCGGCACGCCTCATAGGCCAAGCGCTGCCTTTTGCGGCACGGCTTCTCGTAGTAACGCCGCTGCTTCACCGACTCAATGATGCCGTCCTGCGAGAGGATCCTGTGGGGAAGGGGACACCAGAGAACCGTGATCACATCTTCCTCCTCCCCTCTGCTGTGCCCTCACTGCCACTTCCTGCACTGCCCGCAGCCCAGCTGCTTGTAACGTCCTGACAGCCTTTATCTCCCCTTTCACCGAACCCTGTGCCTGCTGAGCCTTTGCATTTCAAGATCAAAGCTCATGTTGCTTATTGTCCCCCCTGCTAGCTCACCACATGAAACTCACTTCCTGCATTCTGCTACAAGACCCCAAAACAGCAGTGAGTGCTCTGGGAGTTGTCCAGGGTGCACTTACCAGGAATTTGGGAACACCAGGAAGCCTGTAGAGTGCTCTAGAGCCAACTGGAGGCTCTGGGTGTAATTTAGGGTGCTTAAGAGTACACAGAAGGGTCCCAAAAGGCCTCTAGGGCACAATGAAGCACTCTGAGAGCACTGTGAAGTACCGTAGAGTACATTGGAGCTTTTGCCATAAATGTAAGCACATTGGGATGCCCCTGGGGCAGCACTTTTTGGACATAATCACCTGCCCTCCGCTTCACCACACCCAGGAGCAGCAGGGCAGAGCATAGAGGCATCACTCAGAGGGCTGTGAGACCCCGGCCCGGCTGCCCTGTGGGGGTCTCCATCCCTGGAGGTGCCCAAGAACCAGAGATGGGACCCCTGTGCAGAGCTGCCAACCCACATCAAAGGGCGGACCCGAGGGGGAGGAGGGCTGTGAAGTCCCTTCTGCCCCAACCCCCTGCGATGCTCGGTGCCCCCCGCCCGGGCCCAGCCGCAGCCCCTCACCTGCTCAGCGCCCCATAGGCCGCATCCACGTTGCCATTTTGCACCATGACAGTGCGGCCGATGAAACGGAGGTGATTCGCCATGGTCGAGGGGCTCCGCTGAAGGCCGGCACCGCCCCGGGATCTCCCCTACCCCCAGGAACCACCGGGACCCCGCGAAACCGCGACGCCGCCACTCACCTCCGTGTGCCCCGGAACCGGAAATCAACATAGGGCCCTGGCCGGTGGGCGGGGCTTAACATAAGGGGGCGTGGTTAAGAGGAAAGGAGCAGGGCTTTACCAGAGGGGGCGTGGTTAAGAGGAAAGGGGTGGTGCTTGTGACGCGAGTCGGTGGGGGCGTGGCGTGAATGAAGGGGGCGGGGCCATGGGAGAGGCTCCGCCTCCGTGTATCCCTATGGGGTCCTGGGTAGGGGTCGCCGTGTGGGGCTGGGAACAGCACCAGGGGATCCCAGGACCAGGGGACACATCGGGCTTGGGGGTTGTGGGGTCCAAAGGACACCGGGCCCAGGAGGAGACACAAGGGGGAATGCTGGCCCCCATGGGGGACATCAGAACAGGTCCAGGAGGGACGCTGCTCCAAGGGACAGCGGGTATGGACACAGCAGAACTGCAGATGACACAGGGTCCAGGGATGGCACCAGGCCGCAGGGTGACAGCAGCACCAGGGGGGCCACTGGACCACTTGGGGGGGAGGCAATAGATCCAAGGGACAGCAGCCCCAGGGGACACAGGGCTCGGGGATGACATCAGAGCTCCAAATGGGGACACCAGCTTCAAAGAGGACAGCAAATCCAGAGGACAGTGATCCCAGGGGGCATCATGACCCCTGGGTGGAGACGCCAGGTTTAGGGGACAGCAGCTTCAGGAGGGCTACTGGGCCACATGGCGGTGGAGGGGAACACTGGATGCAAAGGATGCCAAGCCCAGGGGTGACACCAGGACCCAGATGGGGGCCAGGTTGAGGGGACACCAGGACCCAAGGAGACAAAACCCGCACCTCCTCACCCCCAAAACAGCCCCTCCACCCCCATGTCACACCCCCAGCGAGTACAGAGGACACCATCACAGCCCAGCCCAGCCGCTCCGCTGCCATTTATTGCTCCCACGGGGGGAACGCGTCGCGCCCCAAAACCCTGCGGGGAAGGCACGAGGCTGGGGGGTGGCTGTGCTGCTGCGGGGGGGCCTGCCCCCCACCCCCATCCTCCTGTCCCCTTGTGCCCCCCCCGGCGTTGCAGCGAGGCCCCAAGGCACCGCGCTCGGGGTTGGAGGGGGGGGCGGCTCTGCTGCGTGTCTGTGGGGTTTGAGGGGGGGGGGAGAAGAGACCCCAAAAATCCACTTTGTTTGAGGTTGCTCTCGCAGTCCGGGGACGGGGCGCTGCCTCCTGCCCCCACTTTCAAAATAATAATAATAATAATAATTAAAAAAAAAAAAAAAAAATTAAAACAAAGCCAAAAAAAATAAACCCAAAAACCAAAATGAAGAAGAAGAGAATCCCGTGCTGGGGACGGTCACACGTCGGGTGCTGCGGGGGGCGTGGGGGCCCCAGTCCGGGTGGGGAGGGGGCACTTGGGGTGTGTTGTCCCTGTTGGTGTCGTCTCTGATGTCCCCCCCGATGTCCCCGACGTGGCGCCGTCCCCGTGTGCGCTGCGGCGGTCTCGGAGCAGCAGGAGGACCCCGACGGGATCGGGTTCAGGGCCGGCTTTAGGGGCGACGTGGGGGAACCAGACTTTGAGCATCACCTCCACCTGCAGCAGGGTCCCCAGGTAGCGTGCGCTGCGGGGCGGAGGGGGCCCCCATCAGCCCCCAGCCCCACAAAGGGAGCGTTTGGGGGCTGCGGACCCCCTGATGGAGAGGAGATCCTCGGGGTGTTTGGGGTTTTTTTTGGGGGGGGGTACTCACCCCATTTCGGGTTTTTGCAGGACGCCGATAATCCGCTGGATTCTGTCCATGGCCACGCTCTGCTGGAAGCTGCTGAGCCCTGTGGGGTGGGATCCCCCCCCGTGCCATAAATGCCCGTCCCATGGGGTGAGTTTGGGGGACACCGTGGGGACGGAGCTTCCTTCCATGATTCCCATCCCATGGGGCAATGCTGAGGACGCCGTGGGGACAGAACCACTGTGCCATAAATCCATGTCCCGTGAGGACAGGAACGTAGGGATGAGACCCCATACCACAAATCTCAGCGCTACGGAAAGGTTTTGGAGTCACTGTAAAGGGGGCCACGGGGATGGAACCATTGTGCTATAAGTCCCCATGCCTTGGGGGGGGGGGGGGGGGGGGGAGCATTGGGGACACTATGGGGATGTGGTGGAGGATCTCCCGTGCCATAAATCCCTATGCTGTGGTTCTGGGATCGTGGGGCACCCACCTTTGTCATATCTCCCCATGCGCAGCCCATTGAGCAGCTCCGTCAGAGGGCGGATGAAACCCCGCAGCTCCCGGCACTGCAAGGAGGAGGAGGAGGAGGATGAAGACCACCACCCCTGTGAGACCCCCAACACCCCCCCCTCCACAAAGACACCCTGAAACCACCCTATCAGGAACACTCCAACCCACACTGCAACGTTTTAGGGGTCAGCGCTGCTTTTTTTTCATCCAAAAACTCACTTTTTGGGCAAAGAGGCGATCGCCGTCGCTGGGGGGGGGTGGTGTTGTGCCGGGGACCCCCATCCCCATCCTTTGGCCGCTTCGCACCACGCAGCACTGGGGGCGGCTCCGGATCCCCCCCTGCCCTCCTCTTACGGCCCCGCTCAGACCGGGGGGGCGCTAGGGGGGCTCTGGGGAGGGTCTCAGTCCCAATGCCATCACCAGAACTGGGGGAGCGCTGGGAAGGTTCCATGGGGTCACCTGGAAATGGGGAATGGGGAAATGAGCAGGGAAATGGGAATTCGCATCCTTTTATTTTGCCCTTCTTACAATTTTTTTTTCTTTCACCTTCTTCGTCTTTTCTTCACCTTCTCTTCTTTTACGCTTTTTATCTTTTTTTTTTTTAAACCTTTTTTTTTCTGCCGTTTTTCCATTCCTCTTTTATTTTTTATTGTTATTATTATTATTTTTTCATCATTTTCCCTTTCCCTGCCGAACGCTTCCAGTCCTCCCCCTCCAGCACCCCGCACCCCTTCTACCCCTATCTCCCCCTCCCCCTCCCCGGTTCCCGGGTCCCCTCCCCCGGTACCGATACCCCCCACCCCCGCTCCCGCCGCCCCGCACCCACCCACCTGCCGGCGGCAGCCGCTGCGGCGGGGCCGTGCCCGCCCGGTGCCGCTCTCCCCGTCCCTCCGTCCCCGTCCCGCTCCCGGTCGCGCTGTCCCGGCACCGGCGCCGGTTCCGCCCCGGCTGCGGCTGCCCCACGCGTACACGTGCGCGGCCGCACGTGCCTCCGCCGTCGCCCCGCCCCCTGCGCTCCCATTGGCTGCCGCACCCCTGGTAGTGGGCGGATCCGCCTCTCGCCGCCACGCCCCTTATACCTGATTGGCTGCTGCCGCCGCACGCCGTGCCCAATGCGGACGCTGCCCCGAGGCGATTGGTTGGGAGGGTGGGGCCGTGGCCACGCCCCTCCATGTGGCGAGGCGGCGGAGCTGCGCGACACAGCGCCCCCTACCGGGCGGCGGTCACAGCGCCGGGGTTGGCGGGGAGCGGGGCGGGTCTCGGTGGAACCGGGCCCAAGCTACAGGAGCCTCGGTGAGCGCAGATCCGCGGCCGCGTCCCGCCGGCAGTACGGGACGGAGCTCAGCACCGCCCACTTCCCGTTCAGCCAATGGGCGGCGGCTCCGCTCCGGCTCGCGGGCGGCTCAGCCAATGGGAGCGCGGCGTCGCCTCAGCGCCGTTACATAATGGAATGCGGGGGGGGCAGACGCGTGTGCGCCCACGTGGGGGCGGGGCGGGGCGGGCCGTGCGCGGGCGTGGGAACGCGCGTGGGGGGCGCGGGA